TTTTCCTTCGTATTTGTGTTTTATCGTATTTTACTTTTATTTAATAAGTGCCGTAGCCCCACGCGAGTACTCCACTAATTATAAACGGTGTAATACGTAAGTTTAATTATTTTCTGTCTAATATACTTCGATCAATAATAGTTATGTTACAAAAAACTATTTAAAAATAATAATTTCAAAGACTGAAAAAAAAACACTGCTGTCCTTGTTTATTTTAGCTAAACCTGTTAGGATACATCGTAATCATGATGCAATACATTAACCTTCATAACACTCATGAATTGGAACTTTATTATTAACTTTATTAATAACACTACATTGTGTAATAATGATAAAAACCAACTGCCAAAATCAACTTTTTTAAATCTTTATAAGTTTTGTCCACTACTGCGTGGCTACATGCACTTTTATAATTCTTTGTATAGAAGATCTGTACTTTCAAATGATCTATTATATTATTCTTTTGTAAATGTCTGGGGCACAGTTTCATACAATTTTTGGCAATCTCCTTTCAAATCTAAAAACATCGTCGTCTTGTAACTTAACCGCCAACTCGGATTAGTGCTTTCACTAATCTTTTATTTATTAGTTAGTGAACTTAATCTTTGTTCCTGAACAAAGTAAGCTTGTTCATTTCTAACTAGATACGAAATAAGCCTTAAAGTATTTAAAACAATTCGTCAAATATACAATATAACTTGGCGGTGGGGTTTCTTTTCTATGTACTTTTATATAATACATAAAAATGTCACACACTACTTTTCCGTAACGTTTCTTTGTACAAAAATAACTTTTTTATTTTTACATTGTAACAATATTTTGTGCGAACATAAATTGTTAAACAAATAAATAACCTGTGCAATTTTAGTATGCAAATTGCCTAACTTAACTAATCTAACACGATTTGGAATTGGCTATAGACATCCGGTATGATTTTGACAATGTTTTTAGTCTAGGAGGCTAGTTAGGGTTAAGGTTGAACTTATTACACTGGTTTTAGATTTCGGAAATGCGTTTGGAATTCATTACGATAGAAACAAATTTCACTAAAGATTGTGTAATAACGAAGCGCAAATATGACAATCTGTTCTCGTAGCATGAAGTAGATGTCCGGTACTTGATCTTTTAATTTTGTTTTCAATTTAGGAGGATTGTCAGGGGTTAAGCCATTTACACTGTTTTTGGATTGCGGAAATGCCTTTTGAATTAATTACGATAAAAATAAATTTCACTAAAAATTACATATGAGGAAACACAAATATGTCAATTTGTTTTTTAACACTGATACACTCATAAAATAGTTAAACACTTGTACCCAGACAATCCATTTGTGGCTGGAGGCGGGACTTATATACATACAAATTGAGTCGCAGTGGAGAGCAGTGACGAGCTTTTTTAAAAAAAAAAATATAACAATTCACATTACATAATTTCATTAACCTACTATCATAGCAGAGTTTAGGGCAACCACCTACTTACTTTCATTGTAGAGTTTAGGGCAACCAGACTTTATAGATAAGATTGGTCGAATCGGGTCCAAAACTGAATTGGCACACCCCGACTCTACGTAGTCTTGTCTGCCCTACCCTAGAGTGTTTTTGTAAAGCCGTAGGCACTGAGAAAAGCAGCCGCCGCCCGCTGTATCAAATCGCAGGCACCTAAGTTAGCCGAAGCTGCGGAGGCGAACATGAGTGCCTGTGGTTTGCTACGCATGGGCAAAGGGGCTGCACTTCCCGAAGCTGTTGCAGAAGTAACTTTGCGTCAATATTCCTGTATAAAAAGTGAGGTTATAATTTTACAAAAAAAGGATTACTCATAAACTATACATTTCCGCAACGGGGGAAGGGTAGACGGGGCTTCTCATAACCCCCTCCCTACCTCCCCCTCCCAACACCGTACGCGAGTACCGGATGTGTATAGTTTACCCTCGATTTGTCCACGTAATATGAAATGTTTAAGCTACCACGAACTTGCAGAATATTAGCTACCATTTTAATTATGTCTTTTATATACAGATGCATCGCAATACGCGCATTTCGTGTTCAATGCCGTAAAACACAAGCATGGAGATAAATTAAGTTTCGAGGTAAGCTTCCTTACGTTACTTGTAAATAGTAATTAAAATTAAATTAAAATTCTAATTAAAATTCTGTGGAATGCCTATATTTAGGCATTCCACAGAATGACGAATATTACTCTTCTCTCAACATCCCTAGAAGAGAAATTAAAAATACGAAATGCTTTTATTTTAAATATTCAATAGTTATTACCTTAACTCCTTCCTTGTAAATAATATATGAACATTTCAACTGTTTAACTATGTATATATATATATGTGTCTGTTTCACCCACCGGGAAACTATGTATAAATAAATGAAAATAAAAGCTCAAATTGTTATACAGTACTACTAGCCGCGGTGTAGCGCCAAAAACGCTTGATTTAATTTGAAATGATTAATTTTGTTAGAACAACAGTTTTTCATAAAGAATCCCCATTCCACCATCGGATGTCCAGACGATCAGCTGGTCCTCCTAAGTGGTCAATATTCTACGCAATGGAATCAAACGATTGGCTTCGTCTTTCGTAATGCGTATAGCAATGGAGTGGAATAATTGGCAGGTGTTTGTACTTATTTTGAATACTTATTTTGCAGGAGTTTCTCGACACACTGTCGCGGGTTGCACGTGGGTCTATCCAAGAGAAACTCTCCTGGGTCTTCGCGCTGTACGATGTCGACGGTGATGGGCGGATCTCCAAGTCAGAGATGCTGGCTGTAGTGCAAGCAGTATATGAACTACTTGGGCGGGCGGCGGTGCCCCCGTACTTCCGGCATCTGCTAAAGATCACGTAGATAAAATCTTTGACGTGAGTTCATTAATTCATAGATCATCATTTATCTTTACCATCTATCAAACGACTACTATTGAACATAGACCTCCTCAATAAATTGCGTCATAGGGGCGAAATTTTTCATCGTCGGTCAAATAGAATTCATGGGTCAGTTGTCAATCCATAAGTCAGTTGTTCATATCCGCTTTGAAGGACTTCTTTACTTAAAGCGACTTTAAAATAATGTCTGCTTGTGCTACTTAATACTTTTACTGTACGGAGACAGTAAATATGACATTGGTCCTCGTGCAGTTATTTAGGATATAAAAATGGGAAATGGAGAGAGAATTTGATATTTATAGTAGTTTGAAAGTACACGCAAACAGATTAAATAATGGAATGAAAAGGTTGTTTGTCAAGATCTCTCCGTGAATCGTTATTTATTATTATATCGTATTCGATATATCGAATCGCTGCGTGTAATTGCAATTAAAAACTACTCTCGTACACATGGAAATAGGATTTCGTTAAATATTTTTTTGAAGTAAAAGTGTATTTGGATTGAATAAAAATTACAGAATTAGATGGATTTTGGTAATCTTTGAAGGTGTCCAATATTTATAAAAGATTTAAGTAGAAAAGATTTTAGTTTTTTGGTTTTGCTTAGCAGTAGATAAAGTAGGAGTACTGTGTTAGCCAAAGTTGAGAAAGTGAAAGTCACAACGGAGCTAGTCGACTTTAGTCGATTTCAATTGCATGTTTTGTATCTAACGTAATACCTTCGCTGTAATACTTCAACGCACTATCCATGAGGTCGGCTCCGGAGGCTGCATCTATAGCCTTTTTTATAGAATAACGGTAACAAACGAGCACACAGTCCACATAATGGTAAATGGATGCTGTGGCCCATAGACATCTACATTTATCTTCAATTAAGAATCAAAATGCAGATCCGTTGCCAGCCCTGAGGACTGAGATGGAATGCCTCGTTTCCAGTAAAAAGAGTGTCTGGTTTTTTACATTCACCGTATGAAACACAGCGACATTAAGCTGCTATTTTACGCTAGTATTCTGTGAGAGCGTGGTGCTAACCTGCTCGAGCCAACCCATTCGTGCTGCAATTACAATATGGCTGCAGCATGGCTCCACCACGTAAAAGTTTTAAGTTCACTGCTAAATACAGGCTTCCTCTATGGATTGCCACTTTGGGAGGATATACGAGTAGTTACCGGGCATGTTTATTATGATTTGTGGTCAACAAGATGCCCATTACCCATTTCGACACATGGAACGATATGGGATAGTGAATTTCCTTACATCGGATACGATTGGTTTTATTTTTTTGGATAGTTTTTGCAATTCGTGCAGATTTACCACGTACTCGGCGGTAAAAAAGACATTGTGAGGAAATTTGTATGTCTGAGACATAAGAGAATGTTTCAGACATGTGAAGTATGCCAACACGCATTGGGTTAACCCGTTGAAACCCACTCAGATGTGAGAAGAGGCATGTTCTTAGCAGTGGGACGCATATAGATTATAACTCTAACACTTATTATCATATAAATAGATATGTGTTTACCACGAATAAAACCCGCTCGACATCGTGAATTGCAAGAACTTATACGTGGCAGGGCCTTGCTACAGCTGTATTGTGGTTATAGCACGAGTGGGTCGGCTTAACCGAGGAAGGACCACGCTCTCACAGAATACTACTGAAAATAGCAGCTCAATGCTGCTATATTTCGTATGCTGACTGCAGAGATTTTACTGGAAGCGAGGCATTTCACCTACGTCCTAAGGGGTGATAAAACATCTGCATTTTGATTCTCAATCGACTAGCGATGTAGATGTCTATGGGCCACAGCATCCACTTACCATCAGGCGGGCCGTGTGTTCGCTTATGACCCTTGTTCTATAAATGAAACGTTGGTCCAGCTGATGGACACGAACGGCGACGGCGTGGTGAGTCCGGATGAGCTGGCAAGCTGGTGCACGCGCGAGCCAGTGCTGCTGCAGTCACTACACACGCTGGATACGGTGTTGTGATGCGCACCACCGGTCCGGAACACAAGCAGGTTTGTTCTGTAACTATAAGCGTGGCACACCGTCGTATTCACGTAGTTTACATTTTCATCCTCGCACAACTACATTATTGAAATTACTAGCACCAGTGATTTTTTTGGACCGTTACGACTTAGGAACCTTTAAAAAAAGTCTATTCTTTTTTAAAAGGCCACTGTTTGTGCGTGGCGGTAGTCACTTTTTTCACTTACCGTTAGCCAGTGGTTGATCACAATCCTATCTGGTAGTGAGTAGTGATGCAACCTTAGATGGTAAATCGCACTGTCTTAGCGTAACAAAAGTCTATTAACTCTTGCTTGCAGATGCCCAGATTGTATTCGGACGGAAAGATAGACGACAGCAAATTATTTCACTCCCTTGCTGTACGCAAAAATTTAAGCAAACCGTTTGGTTCTAATGCGTGGAACATATCGTTTATTATATGAACAACAAAGGGGTAAAAAATTGCCGACCACCTGGTCGTACGATGGTGGAAAGGAGAGGGAGGAATTAAAGCGTGCAATTCTTGCGCATACTCACCGAAATGAGTAGGATAGAATTAGGGGTTGAAAAAACCCCCAATTCTACCATTGATTTATATATTACCTTATTAGCCAATATGAAGACTCGAACTGTAGTATCCTATAATATTGTTTATTGAGCGATTCTCTGCTTCTTAATCTGACGGACAGACCGTTCCAAATTTATAGCCCTGATTGTCATTAAAATTCAGTCAGTCGGTTCAATTTAATAATGAGTCCTACCTAATAAATAGGTTCCAAGTGAAACAATACCTATATTAATTGTCACTAAGTTAGGTACTTAATTAAAATTTAATAATTGAAATTTATGTATTTGCACAATAATTATCAGAGTGATTTTTGAGATGTTTCAGACAGTTAATAAAAGTAATAATGTATTTGAAAATAAAAATAAAAACTTTTTTCATAAATTGGAAATCGTGGTTAGGTGGGAAATATAACGACACAGATTTCACTAGACTGTAGTCAGAAGTTCCCACGGGTGAGGTAACCTAAAAATTGTACCTGTCTGGATCGGTCGTCAGCAGAAAGTCGAGGCAGTTGGCTGTGTGTCCATCCACATAAGGTACCCTAGTCGCTTGTACCAGCTGGCAGGCTGGCGACAAGGAGAAATTCCACGCCTCTGTCCCATCTTGGTTGATCTTCTGTTATGGGAACAGCCAGTCCTGATGAGAGACATTAAAGTCCCCCAGAAAAACCACTGTGCATTAGGGCTTCAAATCAGAGCCGCATCAGAGACTTCATTGAGGTGTTCAAATAGCCTAGTTGTATCCTGGTCACCGCTATGCGATCGGTGGACACAAAAATAAATGATTTTATTTATGCATTTATTTATTTATATTTAATCGCAATAAAGAATTATGAATTACGAATTATTATCAAATCCTGTGTCTACCAATACCCAGATGAGAAAACCCAGACGATTACATCAGATGTCGTTGCGGATTTAAACATAGACTCCGGCGCGCTGATGGACATTATGCTTCAATGTGTACCCAGAGTAGCCAAGGAACGCCACATACAGAGGATATCTGATCTACGTCTCAGTAAAAAGAGTAAATGCGAAGTAAGTCTCAAGGTAGTAGTAGACTGCATTGAAATTATAGCGCAGGCCTCGGGCATTTTGATGCAGAGGGAGTGCAACCGGGTGACAACACATCTGCATTTTGATTCCTAATCGAGGTTAAATGTAGATGTCTATGGGCCGCAGCAACCACTTACAATCAGGTGGACTGTGTGCTTGTTCGTCACCCTTATTCTATAAAAAAAATCGCGTAAAACTTACTCTTGTTTTTTATTTTTTTATTATTGGTAGAGTGGATAGCTTAAGAGAATGGTAGTTGGACGAGGCGTCATGAATATAACCTAGGCATATGCGCAAACCGAGACACAGCGTCGATGGTACCTAGCATGGAGAACGCGGGGACGCCCAAACCCCCCTGGAAGTCGTCACCAGACTCTCTCCTCTGGTACCCAACCAGTTTGGTGAAGTCATCCCAAGATTTTTAGTAAAATGGTGGGGCAGCCTTTCATGAGTGGCAGGCTCATTAATTGGGCCCCCAACTAACTACGGTCGGCCAGCTGTAGAACCGTGCTCCTGATACCGCTAACCTCCATATCCAGGCTCCTGACACTAAGAAACGGCCTTGTCACAACCGGTTTATATGGGCAACGTAACAATCCGGAACTATAATTTTGTCTCGTGCTTCAAGGAACATTGTAGCGCAGGCGTCCTGTTCTAAAGCGGCCAATCCTAGTGTTGTGTCTACTCGGCCCGCACGCCTCACAGCCGCGGTATGATTAGCTTACTTTATAGTATTTATTGCAATATACATATTTATTACAATATAGTTAGATAGATAGATAGAAATGTTTTAATGCACTCAAAAAATTTGGTTGAAGGGCGAATTTAACGCCGAAAAGGCATTCTCTGTTAACTAATCTTTGATAGTGTGGTGAGAGCTATGGGTAGAGCCGCAACAAAATAACCTGGTTCATTTTCATCCAAACGCATAATGTAATATCAATATACTTGTATAATTTAAATGTGGTTGACTAATAATTTGAATACCAGGTACATTACTACAGTTTACGTGGTAGAGCTACAGCAGTAATGCTACCGCTATATTAATTTAACAGTTGTAGCACGAATGGGTCGGCTCGACCGTGAAAGGACCACGCTCTCATAGAATACCAGCGTCAAATAGCAGCTTAATGCTGCTGTGTTTCGTATGATGAGTGTAGAGAACTGGAGACACTTTTTACTGGAAAAGAGGCATTCTATCTAGTCCTCAAGGCTGACAACGCATCTTTATTTTGATTCGCAAGCGAGTATACGAGTAGATGTAGATGTCTATGGGCCACAGCAACCACTTACCATCAGGTGGACTGTGTGCTCGCTTGTCACTCTTTTCCTATAAAAAAAGTTTAATAATGACTTCTTAAAGGGGCTTTAACATAATTTTTACTTTTTAGATTTTACTCGTGTATGAAATATGAAAATTGTTATGGTTTATAAAAAGGCTCATAACTCGCCTTTTTATAAACCATAACAATTTTAAATTATTTATTTAAGATTTATTTCTAGTTGACTGAAGTGGCAGCAGTTCGGAAGACGAAACGACGGTCAGCAATCATCTTCACCTCAACAGACTCGGTGAACCAAACTAGACTTTAATATGCTGTACGTATGGAACAAATTGGATCATTTCACTATGCACTTATTACGCTTTGTGATATAAAACTTGTTAAGTATTATAATAAAAATTGTGGAAGCGAGAGATTTTGGGAACTGAAAGTGTGTGTATTGAAAAAATTGTAATTTTTAAGATTTAAATTTATTGCCACTTGACTGTAGTATTTCTCTTCTTTAAAAATTGATACAATATCGCTTAGATTTCAAATAAAAAAAGAAACAGGGGAAAATTAGTAAAAGATACGTTATAAATTATTATAAGACTATATTTATCACGTATTTACTTTTGAGCAATGTTTAAAGATCCAAACCTCTTGCTCATCTGAAAGTTAGTTTCAAATCGATTGCAATTTTTTTTCGAGGAAACAAACAAGTGAATGGTCAGACAAGTGAGTTTACTCTAAGCTATATTTAAGATATCAAGCCTACAGCTGTTAAATTAAACTAAATTAATTAATTATATATCTCTGATTGTCTATTCATTATACAAAATGTATAATGAATAGACAATCAGAGAAGTAAACGAGTTAATGAAAACGTGGTTTTATATTTTTGAAATACGTTACGCTTATTTTAGTTTAAACTGCGGCACAGCTGTATCTAAAACACTATTACTATGTTAAATTGAAATTTGATTTATTAATAAAAAGAATTGTTTTGTTAAAGGCGACGTAATTTGATTTGTTAATTGTAAACAACAAAACATTTTCAGGCAAACCCTCAGAATAAATAACTGAGCTCAGTTTCAAATCCTCGATCCGTAAATCCAAACTCTAACACGGTATTATTTAGCAGTAAGTGTTCAAACCAAATATAATGATTTATAAAAATGGCTCTCATTCAAAAAATAAATTTGATAATAATATCGGCAAAATCGCAAAACCCATACTTAAAAGCAGCGCATAAAATTATTATACTTATTGTCTGATATAAATTTATCTTACGCTCCGATATTTAAGCTCTTTCATTATACTTGAGGTTCAAATCTTCTGTCTTTTTACAATTACGTACAAATAAAAAATAGATTTATTAACCAATTGGACTTGTGCTATTTTAAATAGGTAATAATTTATGATAGAATTTAATGCTTGAAATTTCGTCATCTATTTCTTGATTCAAATAAAATTTAGAATTTATTTAAGTGAATTATTAGAAACTAAATATAATAAGCAACTAGACATAATAAAGCTATTATATTAAATTAATATTACTTGAAAGTGCCGCAGGAAATATGCATAATTTAGTTTTCTGTAGAATGTCCATTTGTTGAAATATATTTTGATTGAATTTTATCTCAGTCTTGTTTTAAGAGGTGGCAAATGATCATGAAGAAATGCTATACCAGAGCAATTAGAGGTTATAAAGTAGTAGGCTCTTTTTTTGAAAGTTGCCAAGTCGCGTCTAACTGGATGCTAGTGGTAGCGTTTCTAGGAAGACAATCTCTTATGATGCGAACTGAATTACCGATTTGAAATAAATTGTTTTTCGTATCTAATACAATCCCTCTAATACTATTTGTAGTAGACCTTTGTCTACTTTTGGTACATCAATCAAAACGGTGGAACCAACGAATACATCCTTGAATTTCTTCGAACAAGTTTCTTTCATTTTATCAGCAGATCTTTTTAAGTTTTGTGAAACATCTTCCCTTTGCTTTTTAATGTTCTCTTCTTTTTTAGAATAATAAGCATAGAACTCCTGACCCATATCCTTCTTCGATTGTCGTAATGCCACATATTGCATGCACGGAATTTCCGCAAATGTCACTTGAATGTGCTCCTGTAGATTTTTGTCCACAAACCATACAAATCATTTCCTGTACTCTCACAACCGATTCACTTTCTGATACAACGGATGATTCAGCTGATAATTCATGTGTTAAAATAGCTGAAGTTGAAGTGTTATCTTCATTTGGTTCAATAGTTAGTTGTTCCTCAGAAGTTCTAGCGTTGATATCAATTGATTCAGTAGCTAATACGTTTTGCTGTTTAAAAAGCTGATCCAAATTCTCTTCAGTAACTAACTTGTCAAGTAATCGCGAGTAGATCGGAGTCCTGTTTTTGGTTCTGTTCCAAATAACGCCTTGTAAGGTGAACGCTTAATGATATGATGAAAGGAGGAATTCTTTTCAAATTGAACAAAATAACAGCCGATTGCCCAATTTTTACTGTCATTGTCAATTAACCAAGCCCGTAACATCGCTTCGACATCTTGGTTTGCACGCTCAACTGACCCTAGAATCGCTGGATGTCTAGGCCTACCATAAATAATTTTGCATTTGGCCACATTGTAGTCAATTCTTGAATAATTGCGGTAGTAAGCTCACGGTCATTGTCACTTTATAGTATATGGGAACAACCTACTTCCAGGAAAATATTTAAAAGTTCCATTGCTACTTCAGCTGCTCTTTTTTAATTATGCTTACTATATTGCTTTATAATTTCTGTCGGGGGGTTGACTGTAGGTCAATCAAATCAACCTGGTCGTGGTGCTTAAAATCATTAGAGACAATCGGGCGAACAACAATACCTTTTCTTGGGAATTTCTTTTTTAGATTGACATACCGTACACAGTTTAAAATTCTAATACAACAGAAGTGGGAATTAAATATTTGAATTTCAAATTGTACAGCATTTTATCTCTGCCTCCGTGGCCCGTCGCTTGATGGGTCTTACAAAGTGTAGCATAAAATTAATTTGGAGGCACTATCTTAACCACTGAGTCGGAAACTAAATTTCTTTTTAATATCAAACACTTGGTTGTGCCTATCTCCATTACATCATATTTGTTACCGTAATAATATTGATTGTTTGTTCTCTTAAGATTCGGTAAATGCCTCTTCTATCCTCTCTTGAGTCCATAACCGTTTTTCTTATCATGCTGTCCCTCTAAAATCGTCATAATAGCTTCATTAAACTGTTCCTTACACACAAACTCAGTACAAGGCTGATTTCGTCCCATATTGAAAGCCATTCTCTATAGTTTTCGTAAAATTATATTCAAAAGTGCGTGCGTTCGTCTTTAATAGTGTTTAGAACCAACTGAGACCGCGTGCCGGCACCGCGGGTGAGTGCGCGGTGGAGCAGGGGGCGCGGTCACTAACAAGCAAGCGCGATCGCGACGTAAACAAGAACTGGAAATGTTTTATTATCATTTCACTGAATCGATTTAGAGATTTGTTCAAATCACCAGATTCGCTTAGGCAAATGATAAAATCGTGTTGTAATTTTAACATACCCCGTGATTCCTTAGGGATTTGATCAAATTACTGTTTTTATCATATTCCTGCGACATATAGATCAAATGTTTGATAGAAAAGCAAGTACATGTTTTGCTAAACTTTAAAATCAAAACCCAATTTTAAAACATATACTAAACGATTATAACTCCGTTAACTTTAAAATAAGTTAAGTTCTAATTAATGGTATTTATTTCAGTTTATGATGCATGATGATGAATAAATAAAGCTAACTGTATATCGTATATCTATTAACAGTCCCATTAATATTCACTATTCTTTTATAATTACTTTATAAAAACGTTACCCCCACACTTGGATTTTCTCCCTGTGTCACGGAGGCAGCTTACAAACATAAATGGCACAAGGACACACATCCAAACCCGGAACAATCATTTGTAGCACATACAAATACTTGTTCCGTGTGAGATTCGAACCTGCGGCTCCCGGCGCAGCCACTCATTGCTAAGCCACTGTGCCACGGAGCCGTCGTCTAAAATAAAATAAATTCGTCCGCACATTAGCCTGAACCTAAGCTAACTGAACAACCTTCCAACGTGTGGATGCCGTCACAAACTCTCCGCCAATAATATCTTCGCCACTACATTCGCCACTGTGTTGGCCAACGTTTAGAGCCGCCGTGAGACGGCGCAGGGCGCTTGCGCGAATGTTCGTGTGTGATAATTAAACCAATTCGTGCAAAATTATTCCCTAATCATTCCAAAAAATCAAAAATGCATAACGTTAATATTCAAGTTTTAACTTCTGCCGGCACTCCCGGAGTGCAACCCGTCGTTTTTTTATAATAATAATTATTAATAGAATTTCATGTAGTTCTACCTACTGTTACTCGTTAGGAAAATGAAATTATATTTCAATTGTATTAGCCTAAGAAGTGCTTTAATGGAACTATGGGGTCAATGAATGTTAGTAAGCTATAAGGAATCCAGCTATTTATGTACCTAAAGGAACAGTTTACGTGTTTTAATGTCAAATGTTGTTTTCTAGTTTTTAGTACGCGTTTTATTATAGTATGATGAAACATTTATTCCTATAAATTGTTTTCTTAATTTGTTTTACAAACTAGAAAATGTTTACTCACAGATGAATCATTGCCATTAAGATATTGTTCACGATTTAGTATTCAATAAATTTAGTCTTTACATATTTTTTTTCTAAAAGACGAACTGAAAGTTTAAAAAGTGTAAACTGAATTGAAAATAAATACAAAGAGAATAAACATCGATATTGGTTGACGTGATATGGAACTATTCACTCATCGAAGTGCAAATGCCTTCGCAAATTGAAGAGTTTCATGATTTTCTCTAAGCCTCCAAAATTTCATTGTAACGAAATTTATGTGCGAGCTACCGTGAGATACGGCTTTTCTAGCAAGAAATTGTCATTGAAATCGGATAATGTGGTACGTAGACTCCGGGTTATGTAAGTTAGGGATATACATATCTATTTATTGTTTACTATTGAAAAATAAGTTAATAAAATACTTCCTTCTATTCCAAGTTATAGTTGTTGTTTTATTTTAAATCTTTCATTTAGTAAGTGAGAAGCTTTTCAATAGAATAAGGGTGCACAGTCCACGTAAGTGGTCCGGTAAGTGGATGCTTAACGTATAAACATACAATTTTACAATCCTCTATCTCATTATGAGCTAGTGCTCGCCTACAATCCCGAAAGTGTAGAGAGCCGGAGACCCTATTTTACTAAAAACATGGCCTTCCATCTTAGTCCTCAGTGGTGACAACGCATCTGCGTTTCGATTCTTAATCAAGGATAGATGTAGATGTCTATGGGCCACAGCATCAACTTATCTTCAGGTGGACTGTGTGCTCGTTTGTCACCCATGTATTATATATATTTTTTTAAACTGGTGGTAAGTGTTTATAAAGCTCAAGGAGGTAAGTCACGCTGTTTTACCTTAACAGAATTTCTATTCACTCTGGCACTGAATAATTTTTCCACTTCTTATTTTCCATCATCAGAGCCAAAGCAAACCATTTGGTTTAAATATCGTCAGTAAAATTTTAGACCCATTGACAACTGAAAGGGGTAGGGTAATTAAGGTATATAATTCCTCCGCACACTCTTCTGAATTCAATCTCTTATATTTCAAAAAACACTAACATGACGGCTACTGTTTGCCTGTGATCGAGGCTTAAATTGGCTTCAACTAAATCGAAGTCAACAATAAGCCTTTTAGAATGCCTTCCTTCGAATTCAACGCTACTAGGTGGAATTTTGCAGCATTATTCTCCTATATAACCAAGTGGTAGGATTACTTTCCTGCATAGCAGTTCTTCGTGTGTACAACACCAGTGCTCGCACTGCTCCAACCGACTGCTCGAAAAATATACAGACCTAGTAAGATTACAGGCTGTGAGGCTTCTCATGTAAGTTCTCTGTAGCCTCCTTTGTTTGAAGTTGGCTGCAGGTGTCCCGGACTGCAGAAGCTGCTTAGCTATCGGTAGGACTAGACGTTTGTTTTCAACTTCAGCTTTATAAAAAAAATCAGGTATGGGGATAGTACCTTAATCAGACGGACGGAAAAAACAGTCCTACTTCCTAGAAAAAGTTTATATACTTTTATATATTATATGAACTGCGAGTTCGTTTTAAGCTTTTATAAAATACACCTGAGAATAAGTAGTGAAAGTAACAAAGTAGATGGGAACAAAGAAAAATTTTTCTTCTCCAGTGCTGACAAACAGACTTTGAACATCCTCCAAATAAATAAAACAGTAAAAGTGTACGTTGCGGATACATTAAGTTGGAAATTACCATTTAGACTTTATTGGCGAAATTCCAGAAGTGTTCCACCCAGCATTCCAATTATAACACTGATAGCTACTTATGCTGTTCTTATCGCAAATAATTTCTAGATAAGCATTTTATTTATATTATAGCCTATTAAAATCCACTGCGGAATTCCTCTTAGATCGTTTTATAATTAGGATATTTGCCACAGTTGCTACGCTCGGTAGGCACGTTGACAACTTCATCATCATCATTACAGCCCTTCAAGTCCACTGCTGAACATAGGCCTCCCCCAAGTAATGCCACAAAGCACGGTCCTGAGCCACCTGCATCCATCGACTTCCTGCATGTCTTACCAGGTCGTCACTCCATCTAGTGGGGGGTCGCCCTACACTACGCCTACCGGTACGAGGCTGCCACTCGAGAACCTTTCTTCCCCATCGGTTATCGGTTCTTCGAGCTATATGGCCGGCCCATTGCCACTTCAGCTTACTAATCCGTTGGGCTATGTCGGTCACTCTGGTTTTACTGCGGATATCCTCATTTCTGAGTCTATCACGCGGGAAACTCCGAGCATAGCCCTCTCCATAGCTCGCTGAGCGACCTTAAGCGTCCTCATACGGCCAGCAGTGAAGGACCACGTCTCAGATCCGTAAGTCATCACTGGCAACACGCACTGGTTGTACAATCTAGTTTTTAGAGATTGAGGTATACCTGACGAAAAGATATGCCG